GTATATTTTGTGAAGTGTTTTACTTTGATTAAATTGATTTATTGATTTTAATTTTTCGGTAAACTAAACACATTTAGACAGTGGTTTAGTCTTTATTTACACTCGATCGGGAGCACAGCAGCTGAGAATATCACGAGCACCAGAGGGCGCTGAGGGAGTGAGGGAGTGAGGGAGAGGGAGGGAGTGAGGGAGGGAGTGAGGGAGGGAGTGAGTGAGGGAGACAGTATAATCTCGGCATGAGGAACGCGTCTCGATAAACTAATGCTAAATAAATGTACAGGTAACTCTTAATGTAGATTAAACATTTATTTTAAGAGTGAAATTTAAATTACTACTGAAATCAGTCGAATATACGCACAGAGCTGAGAAACAACTAAATCTGGAAAACATTTGGCTTATAACATAATAGCTTATGATAAAGATAATATAACAGCTTATTTATTAATATATTAATCACAGACATTAACCGAAAATACACAGAAAGCCGAGAAACAATAGAGTTTATGATGATATATAGATGAATATAGATAAATCTGATTTATAATGTTTTTTTTTTTTTTGCTTTTATTCTCTCTTATATCTATCAAGCAGAGCAGGAACGGCAGTTTGCGTTAAATTAAAGCAATATTTGATGTGTTTGCTTTGTAAACAGTTATTGAGGAAATAGATGTACATCAACATATCAGTGATGTGTCGTAAATATCCAGAAATGTTAGTAAATATAAGGCTGTAATTGTTTGATAACTCCGCCGAAATAATCATAATAACGTGCTGTTTGATGTGTGTAAACAGTTAATTAATTGTAAATCCGCCTGCGCGTCACGGGTCTGTTTTGAGCGCGCGCGCCTGTTGGTCCTGTGACGAGAGCGCGCGCGCGCCGCTGGATGTGCTCGTCTCCGGTGACGCGAGTGGATGCTGTGATTGATTTGCAGAATCTGATGAAATATACAGAAACTTTGATGATTTGAGGACACGACGCGGATTCATGATGGAGGACATCAACGACGCGGGAATGAGGAGGAGCGGCAGGAGCTGAGGTGCGTTTATTCCACACAAACACCACTGATACATCTATATGTGTGTGTGTGTGTGAGAGGAAAACAACACGACAGCTGGACATGATGATGATGATTCTCGCATTTCTGACGCGTTTATCGATAAAAATCCTCACAGGCCTGCAGGAGAAGAGCTGCAGGTCTCTGAATAAACACACACTGTCCGTCATTACTGAGGCTTTAGCGCTGAATTGATCAAAACAGGCCGGAATACATCCATATACACCCGCGTCTGCTCGGAGAATCACCAGTGAACCGCGATTCATTCGACTCTGAATCGTTTTTAATCGATGATTCTGCGGTGTGTAGAGATGATGAAGATGACCATGGTGTTGTTGTCAGGGATTGGTGAAATACAGCAGGGTAAACAACATTACACTGATACACACACACACACACACAGTCATAATGAAGCTCTCTCGAGGATCAGCGAGTCTCTGGTGGCGTTAATAGAATGACTCCAGCTCTCTGGGTGATTCAGATTCAGCACACACAGCTTTTCATTTACAGGCTGTTGATTGAGCCAGCAGAGTGTTCTGGCAATGTTCCCTCAAAGTTATGATGATCAAACACACCTACAGAAACATTAATATAACGATTTTGTCTAGTCAACAATGTTTTTCAGACGTTTCCAGAAGGTTTTCCTGCAATAACACTGCTGTCTTGAGTGTTCAGCCTGGTGTAATGAGCTTTAGAGCTGTGGATATCGCTGCTCTGTAAATCATTTAATGTAAGATCACACTCTTCATTCATTTGTTTTCTTTTCGGCTTGGTCCCTTCATTAATCAGGGGTCGCCACAGCGGAATGAACCGCAAACTATTCCAGCATATGTTTTACGCTGCGGATGCCCTTCCTGCTGCAACCCATCACTGAAAAACACCCATACACACTCATACACAATTTATCCTTCAAAATTCCCCTATTGCGCATGTGATCGGACTGTGGGGAAACCGGTCAACACTGGGTCAGATTTGGACAAACTCAAGTTGGGTTAATATGTTTTAAGTGAAATGTAAATAATGGTTATAAGTGACCCAGCATTGGGTTAAAATCCCCCAGCATGTTTGTAGAGTGTTGGAAATGTAAATGTAAACCTTTATTACTATATGGAAGATCTATATGATCTGTCTGAATGCAGACGACATGAACTCACATTAACATTAATCAGCATATATTAATATTCAGATATAATCTGTGGATAGGAATAAACTGTAATTCAGGCTGAAGTTATTAACAGTCTTGTTAAATGTGAAACTTCAGAGTGTTTTAACAATATGCCATTTACATTTCAGATGATAATTATTGAGTGTTTTTGTCAAAATGATGCTTCAATGCAGATCTTTATTATACATTCAAGTGATGCTGGATGATAGGGGTTTTGGACATTACTATTAGAGGGTCAGGTCACCCAAAAATAAAAGCGAACTCTCTGTTTACCCTCCCTCGAGTGATTCCAAACACTGAAGAGTTTCTTTCTTCTGTTGGACACAAAAGAAGATATTTTGAAGAATGTTAGAAACCTGTAACCATTGACTTCCATAACAGGAGGAAAAAAACAAATACTATTGAAGTCTGTGGTTTTCAGCATTCTTCAAAATATCTTCTTTTGGGTTCAACAGAAGACAGAGACTGAAGCGGGTTCGAGACGAGTGAAAAATGAGTAAATGATGGCCGAATATCTCTTTAATCTCTGTGATATATTATCATAAAACAAAAATAATGAAGCCAGTAGAAAACAAATCATTACTTATTATCCAGAAACCCTTGATTCCCTGTGAAGTGCAGACCTGCACCATACTGGAAAATCTGACATCCAGATATTTAGCTTTACTTTGATGACTAAAATAGTGTTGTCATTGTTATTATTATTATTATTATTATTATTGTTATTATTATTGTTATTATTATTATTGTTATTGTTATTATTATTATTATTGATTATTATTATTATTAATTATTATTATTAGTTATTGATTATTATTTTATTTATTATTATTATTATTATTATTAATAATAATAATAATTGTTGATTGTTATTATTTTATTAATTATTATTATTATTTATTAATTATTATTATTTTGATTTATTATTATTATTTATTATTACTATTATTATTATTATTTATTATTATTATTATTATTATTATTATTATGTATTTGTTTTGATTGATTGGGCTGATTTTCTATCACACATAAAATGTAATAAATCAGCAGCATAGATCAAAGAACAACCCATGAAATGAGCCGTCAGGGAACTCTGATATAGTATAGTAAAATTCACTAATCACATCATGTACAAAGACACCGCAAGCTCTTTACTGCATTAATACATCAATAAAAGAGTCTTCATTACAGTTACCAATGGTGAAAGTGTTTGTGGCTTCCATCACAGTAGAGTTTGAACACGTGAAGTTCTGTAGTGCCGCTCTGTGAATGGGATAAAACAAGACGATCAGACGTCAATAAATCAATATATTTTACATTTCTGCACAGCGTGATCGTGTTCTGCTCTTCTATTGGTCTCACGCAGTCATGTGATGCGATTTCACAGGTCAGAGTTCTCTAAGTTTGAACTTTGCAATGCAGAGACATGTGAAACCTGCTGCACGAGCTTGTGTTATTAGTCGAGAGAGAGAGAGAGAGCGAGAGAGAGAGAGAGAGAGAAAAAGAGAGAGAGAGAGAGAGAGCGAGAGAGAGCCAGAGAGAGAGAGAGAGAGAGAGAGAGAGAGAGAGCGTCCTCTGGCCTTCACAGGACGTTCACTACTGCTCACATGACTGTACTGTCCTCCCCGGATGGCCAGACGACTGCAGATGTGCCTGTTGATCTGTCGTTCAGCCCTGATATTGATGCTGAAGCTGTATGTTGTGCAGCCCGGTGTGTGTATAACCGTATCTCTCTCTGTGTGTGTGTGTGTTTCAGCTTTGGTCAGACACACACACTGAGGCCACTGATGGTGTTCCTGCTGTCCATGGAGGGTGTGAATCCCTCGTTCGTCTCCATCAACCTGTCCTCCACGCCGGCCGCGTCCCCCACGCCGCTGCTGTGCCAGCTGGAGGTGTCGTCGGCCGCCGCCGGGCTGCAGAGTAACGCGTCTGTGCCTGCGCCGGAGCCCGCGTATGAGCTAACGCCGGCGGAGCTGACGCTGCTAGCGCTGCTGTTCTCTGTCTGCTGGCTGATCTCGGTGCTGGGGAACTCGCTGGTGTGTCTGGTGATCCACCGCAGCCGCAGGACTCAGTCCACCACTAACTACTTCGTGGTGTCGATGGCGTGTGCGGACCTGCTGCTTAGCCTAGCGTGCGCGCCGCTGCTGCTGCTGCAGGTGTGTGCAGGTCGCTGGCCGCTTCCCGCCGCCGCGTGTCGAATCCTGCGCTTCCTGCAGCATCTGTGCCCCGGCGTGCAGGTCTACGTGCTGCTGTCCATCTGCGTCGACCGCTTCTACACCATCGTGTACCCGCTCAGCTTCAAGGTGTCCCGCGAGAAGGCTAAACGCATGATATTAGCATCGTGGCTGTTCGACGCTGCGTTCGTGTCGCCGTGTCTGTTCTTCTACGGATCGTCACCGTCTCCGAATCACTGCGAGTTCTTCATAGCCGACAGCTGGGACGGGCTAGCGTACGCCATCGCGCATTTGCTGTTTGGGTTCCTAGTGCCGGCGATACTCATCGTGTCCTTCTATCAGCGCGTGGTGCGCTACATCTGGAGGATTAGCGCTGACGGCCGGACTCTGCGCAGGACTATGAACATCGTGCCCAGGACTAAAGTCAAAACCATCAAGATGTTCCTGATGCTGAACGCCATGTTCCTGCTGAGCTGGATGCCGTTTTACGTGGCGCAGCTGTGGCACCCGCGGGGCTCCGGCAGGCAGGGGGCGCTGTTCTTCATCACCGTCACCTGGATCTCTTTCAGCTCCACCGCCTCCAAACCCACGCTCTACTCCGTCTAC